GAGGAGTGAAAGAGGAAAGAGAAAGAGAGAGAGAAGGAGAAAGAAGGCGAGTATAAGATAGTGACAGATATTAAGATTGAGTTAAGGTGAATAAGAGATAGACAAGATAACAGATATAAAGAGAGAGAGAGTATAAAGAAGAAAAGAAAAAGAAAGCGAAAGAGAGAGATTGTAACAAGTAACTAATGTAAGCGGAGCTTTATTGTCGTGCTGTGCGGTACGGTACGATACAGTTGGTACGGTACGGTACGGCTACTATTAATTTACGGTACGTATAGGTAACGGCTATGCTCTGAATCATTAAGACCACTCACGCTCGCCGCTACCTGCAGCGAACCCACCGCTGCCTCACGACTGGCTGGCTAAACACCGCACGGCCGCCACGCTGCTGCCTGCGCTGCTGCTGGCCCGCTGCTGCCTGCCGCTGCTGCTGCCGCTGCTGCGGAAGCCCCCGCCAGATATGGACGCCAGCTGAAGCCGCCACGCGCCGCCTTCCTCCTCCTCCTCCTTGTCTGGTAACCATGCACATTGCCTCGGGCCACAAAGACCAGCAGGATTGCTGTATACGAAGATCGTCTTCATCTAGACAGAGATAGAGGAGGCAGAGAGATGACTGTGCCGACGGCGGACGCGATACAGGATTGTTAGCGAGATAGAAATTCTAATACCTAATATTACAACTTCTTTCCTAGCTAGCATCTATCTTCATGGATTCAAGATCTCATTGAAATGTTTACTATATATATATATATATATATATATATATATATATATATATATATATCGGACTCCGTCTATGTATAAACTCCTATCACGCACTATTACACAGTAAAAAATCGCAAAACGAGGGCGATTATTCAACTATAACTATATTATATATGAAATATGAAGCATATATTTATATTAATAATATATTACATACATACACTAATATATATATATATACTATGCAATATATATATATAATCAAGAGTACATAATAGAGATGAATCTGCTATTATCTGACTCTTGATATTACCTATGCAATAAAATACATTTTAGCATGACGAAACGCGAAGCGTGATATTTACTGAAGCTTCTGATCGACTATGTCCGAATCTACTCTTTGACTACAGGTGAGAGAGGCAGATTGTTCACGAGTCCGCATCCGAGCCTCCTTATATCCGATGTCTGAAACCGATGAACCGATTCCGGTGGGACACACACATACACGCACGCACCACACACACAGCACACACACACACACAGCACACACCCACACACACACACTACACACACACATACACACCACCCACACAAGCAGCACACACACACACACACAGCACAACCACACACACCACACACACACACACACACACACACATACACACACACACACACACACCACACACCACATATCACACACACACATCACGCACACACACACACACACACACACACACACGCGCGAATAAGCCAACTAGCCACAATTCGTCGATGCAAATTGTGCGAATATATAATTTTACGACATATATATATTTTCACGTTCAATGAATTTTAATTATGCTTTCCTTTGCCAGATAAATGTATTTTGTTTTCGGCTTTAAGTGTACAAATAAGATGAAAAATTATTCCCTTTTTTGACGCTCCATAGATGGCGCGTCGGTAACCGAGTAACGACGGGAATTTACGGTCTACAGGTTTAAGTCTCATAGATATATACAACACATGGATAGCTGACTGCCGCACGCTCACGTTAAAACGCTGGATTGGGCCATGTGGCGTCACCGGAGGCGGCCCACAAACGGGGACAGATCACATCCGCGTCGTATGTCTGTGTGCTATTTTCGCAGCTGTAACATGGCATCTCACTTCGAGCTTCTCTGTTTAGAAGGAAATCCGTATATATGTCAACGAATTCACATGTATTGCAATCTGTTACGAATTGACTACTGCCTCAACCTGTTGACTGACTACTCAATTTTGTTTTATATATTTTGTGCTATTCGCAATGACGATGTCATTACTCGCAGAACGACTGAGACACTGTCCAGTGTCACTGGAACTGGACACGCGAGTTTCAGTCTGCAAAAGCACCAGCAATACAACTTCCTCAACTGTTCTGTATTCCTGATTAGTAGTCGGTAGCAGTAGTAGTCTACTAGTACTAGTACACTAGTAGTGGGTAGGGTCTAGGTACTACTAGTGCCTGACTACTGTAGCTAGTAGTAGCAGCTACTACTGCTACTACTACTACTAGCTAGTACTGCACTAGTACTAGCTACTACTACTACTATACTCTACTATCGCTAGTAAGGCGTTCAGGCTTAGTAGGCTCTATAGGCTTCACTTTGCGCAGTTGTGGTTGCCAGGTTCGGCAACTGTACGCGGGCTATAGTTACTAAAGCTAGCGTACTTACTGATGCTGCTAAAGTAACTATTACAGCTAGCTACTAGTACTAGCACTAGCCAATTCACTATGAATTAAACAATTACTCAATTTTGATTCATGATAGTTTGGTGTTTATCGCAATGAGCGATGTCAATGCATTACAACATCAATACAATTAATAAAATTATACTGCATAGAACGAACTGGACACTGAGTCTTCAATCACTGAAGAATCAGTACGAGTGATCTTCAGGCAAGAATCCGACCCAGCATATTTATTACGTGGCTGAAGCTCTCTAATTGTTACGCTTGGGAACCAGGCCTTACGACTTAGGTAAAGTGTAGACTTACACGGCAATCACTCTCCTATCATCCTTAAGTCGGGTTTATTAATTTTACAAAATTCCTACTACATAACAATAATTGTTATGAACTAACAGAAGGACAATAACCTTACACACCGTACGTTAACGACACTTTCATAAATTATAAACTAT